GTACTATGATTTCAATCAGTTGGTTCCAAACGACAAGGGTTTAAGACTGCGCTTTTCCTTCTTCTGAACTGCTTGGTAAGGTCGGGCCGAGCAGACAGCATGTAAACAGTTCTAGAGGATTGGAAAAATAATAATTTAATGGACTGCTTCTGCACAGCTTCACAGCTTCGATGCTCTATCGATCCCCACAAACATACACAAGGAGTCACCACTTGGCTGCTGCTCTTGCTCTGCGGGCAGTCTGCTCTCTATGGAGCCGGTACCTTCCCTTTCACCTGGGCTGCTGAAACAAACACACAGGAAGCAGTTCTGCCATATGCCAGCAATTTACATGATGTCCTCTTGTTTAACGGCTCCTAGTGAAAATATACATAGAACATAATCTGCCAGTGAGCCTTCAGCCAGGCAAGCTTTTTCCCATACCACCAAAATAAGTGTTGTTCACTGGAGACGATTCCAAAAAGGAAAAATAAGGGTCAGCAGACATGCCAAAAAAGATGAAGTCCAGGGCAAGCAGAGATTCCATTTCTCTTCTTGTCCTTTTTGTGAAAAGCTGCATAAAGTGGCATCCCAGAAGGATTTTGAGGGTACTTCTTCATTGTCACAGGGGACTTAAGCCCTCTTAAAGCATTAACAAGAGCTCCAAGGTTTTAGCTGAAGGGAGCATATACGTTAAATCCCACGAGCTCCAGGACACCCACACGTTTGGGCTTTTGGGGGAGGTCAAAAAGTACGAGCAAATGACGCCACAGGGTTTCTTCATTCATGCTCTGCTGAGAAAGTCCGTGGCTTAGTGATGTGCACTTCACTGCCCCCGTTCCCATTGGTGGTTGTAGTGATTATGTACTGGGTGGTTTGCTGCTGATTGCTCGTTTGAGATTCCAGGGTATCAGTGTGGCCTGACGGCTGGGAGACACCGACCTGTACCTCGCCGGAGAGCGCCGAGTTTTGTTTGGCATCCAGATCAGGCTGACCTTCGGATATCACGTAGTGAGTCTGCACAGGGAATAATAAAAGAGAAGCAGTTGTGGTGTTTCACCTCACATCTTCTATAACTCTCCTTTGAACTACACAATCTGGACCTGTTTAAATACGCAACTGCTCTCTGGGCCACCCATCATCATTCTGGCATTCATTTAAT